TGTTTGACAAGATTATTTAAATTCAGCCAAAACCGGTTTGGCTCAGTGGATAGAGCGTCGGCCTGCGGACTGAAAGGTCCCAGGTTTGATTCCGGTCAAGGGCATGTACCTGGGTTGCGCGCACATCTCCGGCGGGAGATGTGCAGGAGGCAGCTGATCGATGTTTCTCTCTCATCGATGTTTCTAACTCTCTATCTCTCTCCCTTTCTCTCTGTAAAAAAATCAATAAAATATATTTAAAAAAAATAAATTCACATTTAACACAATCTCTGATCTATATTCCCGTTTGAACACACCATTTCTGTGTGTGATGGCGGCCTGTGGCGCTAGCATTTTCAAGCTCTTATCTGATAACGGTGCGCACGAAAATGTTCACGAGTAAAATGATGTGGTGTGTGAGGGTTTGCTTTAAAACACTCAGGGGAAATGAGGAGGTAAATGAAACTAGATTCGTAAGTGTCGGGATTATGAGTGTGTAAGGTCCGTTATCGTATTCTGTCTATTTTTGTACATTATTTAAATTTTCTCTAACAACACGTTTTTCCATCTGCCATCTACTATTGTCCTGTCTGTTTTGTTCCTTTTCCTCTCAAATCTCGGCTCCCTTTAGATGGGTTATTTTTTAATGATCCACTTTCTCCTTTGTTTGTTCACGAACAGTCTCTTTCCGGCAGTGCCTCTCGGAGCGGGACAGGGCGCGGTGCCTGTCTTCCCTTCGGCTCTTCTGGAACTGTCTGCTGAGCAGTTTGCTATTGGGGCTGAGCAGCTGTTTTGTACCCAGTGCTCGGATTGACCCCAAGCGACCAGAGGTACATGTGCTGACCTTGAGCGGCCCGGCAGTTAAGACAGAGGAACAGGGACAGGTTAAGACTGACTGAGTGGGCCCCGCAATCCAGGAGGAGGGGAGGGGGACAGGCAGCCTACCTTTTGGGGGCAGGGGGGTTGACATGTGAGCTGAGGTCTGAAGGTCAGTAGGGGCAGGTGGTGAAGCCCAGGCTGGCAAAAGGAGCACAGGTAGGGTGCTGGGAGGGTCCGCGGGTGGGGGGTGGGCGTGGGAAGGGCCTCACCAGGGCTGTGGGATGCGGTGGGAGCCTCCCGCGGGTGGGGTGGGGTAGGGGGCTGCCTCCACACTCCACAGGAGTCCCGAGGAAGGAGACATTGGAGGCTGCAAAGTGGAGGCCTTTCGCAGGAAGAAGCGTCTGGCAGCTTCTGGCACCTTCTAGGATTGTTTGCACAAGATCCCAGACTCCCTCTGTGTCCTGGGTTGCTTTTTAAAACACCTTTCTGGGCTGGGGAGTGTGTGAAGGGCTGAGAAGAGAGGAGCCAGCAGTGAGGCCTGTGAAGAAGGTGTGTTTTCCCAGCTGACGCCAGGCTGCCGAGGCGAGAATTGCTGCGAGTGTGCGCTGATATCACAGCTCCCCCAGGGGCCGCTGTGAGGGCGATGAGACTTCTTCACAGCTGTCCTGGAGGCCCCCACCCCGGCCACACACCCCCAGCCACATGGCTTCCCGAGGCCTGGGCTGGGACCGCTGGGCGCGCTCAGCCGAGGAGGAAGGACGGGGGACAGAGGAGCAGGCCACGTGTTTGCAGAGGTGCGGTTCCATTTTGTTCGTCCTGCCTGTTCATGGCCACGCTCACCGAGGAAACAAATCGTGGGGGACATGAGCAAGCCCGGAGGTTGGCTCCTGAGTCATTCTCGAGAGGGTGAGGCATCCGGTTCGTTGAATTCTATGGCTCCACTGAGTTACCTCGGCGACAAAGGCTGGCTGTGCCGAGGGCATGGAGAGACATGAGAGCGAGAGCGCACTGACCGGTCCGCAGCCGAGAGCCGTCTTCCCGGGAGAACGCAGCGAAGGCTGACTCACGGCGATGAGCGCGGGCTCTCTCTGCCCGGGTTCTGGACAGGAGGGGTGCGGCGGCCGGACGTACTCAACAGCTTCATGCTGGTCTTGGCCGAAACCCTTCCCGGCTCCCGGGATGGCCAGATTCAGCAAATCACAACGCAGGGTGCCCAGTTAAACTAGAATTTCAGGTGCCCAGTGAAAATCGTGTCGTGTGTGTTCCTGCAAATGTGATTTGTTGTTCGTCTAGAATTCGGATTGAACTGGGCATCCTGGATGCACTGGCAGCCCTGGCCCCAGGGGCTGCAATTAGAGCTCAGATTCCAGCGCCCATTTCTCCCCGGGATGTTTGCAACTTCGGTTCCTCCTCACTGTTTCCTTTCTTGTGTCCAGCTTGACGGCCTCCTCATCGTTGCTTTGCCTTTTGCTTTCTCGCTCCCCGGCCTTTGCGCACACGGCCCCCTTCACTCCCCACCCTACAGGTGAGGTTTAGGGTGCTATCGCTGGTCCCCACGGGCCGGAAGCCCTCCCCCTCTGTGAACACCTTAGTGTCCTTGGAATGGGGACCTTCATTGTGGAGGACGCTCCTTGCTCCTTTGCCGGGCCCCTTCTTCTTCATTCTGGGAAAAGCACCCCCTTTTCGAGAACTGCTCCTCTGACCACAGCCACTTACCTCCCTGCTCCGGCCTCTCTGCCCCCCCGGCCGCCGGTGATCGGCCCAGAAGTGGACACTTGATCCAAGCCTCGCCTAGGAGACCCTTCCCTAGATGTGTGTTTTTAAAAATATACTTTTGTTGATTTCAGAGAGGAAGGAGCAGGAGAGAGAGAGAAACATCCATGATGAGAGAGAGCCTTCGTCTTGAGACCGTCAGGACCACCCCGCGTCTGAGATGTCCGTCCCGTGCTACCCAGCTGCAGAGAAGTGCTTGCTTTTTGACAAGAGTAAGCGCTGACTTTCGTATTCACCAGGAAACACGGCCTTAGACAGTAAAGCCGCCGGGGCAGAACCGTGAACCTCTGCTAACTGCCCTGTCCAATTGACACACACCTTCTGAGTCAAAAGCCTCTTAAGCTCATGTCCCCCTGACATGGAGGCTGCCCCGCCTGGTGGTGTCTGGGGGTCTGCACCTAAGCCTCACGCTCTGCCCCGGGAAGGACATGCCCGCCGCCAGCACACGGAATGCTTGCAGCGAGGGCCAGCCTGGCCCGGCCCCACAGACTCCCTCCCCAGGCTCCCCTCCGGCACGGGAAGCAGCAGCCACGACACGTCTTTGCCGGCACGGTTCCTGCAGAGGTTCTTGGACTTTGGACTTGGCACTGGGATCTGAGAGTTCGGCTGCAGTTGATTGCACCCAGGCTGTCGCATGAGCTGTCCCCGGGCAGCCGTGGAAAGTGTGCTCCTGAGGACGCAGACTGAGGGTCTTATTTGTGTGAGATAAGAAGGGCGCTGAAGCCCAGCCATGGTGCTCAGTGGATGGAGCATCATCCCATGGACCAAGAGGTCCCAGGTTCGATTCCCAGTCAGGGCACCATGTGCACAGGTTGCGGGCTTGGTTCCCAGTAAGTGGCCTGCAGGAGGCGGCCGATCAATGATTCTCTCCCATTATTGATGTTTCCATCTCTCTCTCTCTTCCTCTCTGAAATCAATTAAAAAAATTTTTAAGGTCACTCCAGAGGGAGTCTGGGGTCCCCAGTCCCCCGCCCCTCCCCAGGCCTTGCTTAGTGCCCCAGCAGGAAGTGTGTGGCCGGCCTGATCAGCCTAGCTCATCACTCTCTCTGTGCGTGAGCCCTCCCAGCCCTACAAAGGCCACGCGGCCCCAGCATTCCTGGGTGTCGGCCACATTCCCTGCCGTGAGATGAACTGCAGCGCGGCCTCACTCCCTGTCTGCCAAGTTCCATCTCCTCTGCTGTCCTCCTGCCCTGGGTATGCCCCTCTCCGTTGTTCCTGCAGGACCCAGGTGACGCTGGAGTCCTGGTGGGGCCAGGGTCAGACTGGGGCCAGGAAACTCAGGCTGTGAAAACCCAGAGAACAAAGGGAAAGGAGTTCTTTTCTTTTCTTTTCTTTTCTTTTTCTTTCTTTCTTTTTTTAGAGAGAGAAACAGACAGACAGAGAAAGAGAGAAACATCAACTTGTCCCACTTACTTTATGCGCTCGTTGGTGATTCTTGCACGTGGCCTAACCGAGATCGAACCCGCAGCCTTGGTGTATGGGGATGACGCTCAAACCAAGGAGTCCTTTTGGCTGCAGAGCATTGCGGGGACTTAAGGGGCAGGCTGCTTGCTGAGGCAGAGGAAGCGGCACGTCTGAAAGCTGCCCAGTATACTTCCGGCAGTCTCTCCTCCTCTTTCTAGTGTGAGTCTGTTCCACTGTTTGCATCTGAGCACCTGGCCTGGCCCAGTCTTCACCTTCTATTCCTACCAAACCTGCCCAAGACAGAGCTGCGGCAGAGCAATGCTCTCTCCGTTCTGCAAGGCTTTCCTGCCCACAATATGCCTTTTCCCCTGCGCACTCTCCCGCTTGGCTTGTTGAGTGAAAGCGTTCTGACATGTATTTCTGTTATGTTCCAGTTAAAGGTAAGAAAACCGGGGCCCGTCGTGGCCCAGTGACCGCCAGGGTCACACCACACGTCGCGGGGCCTGCTGCCTCGGAATGCCACACGTCTTCGCTGGTCAAGCACCTCCCACCTGAGCACGTCCCGTTTCAGGTGTTTCACGCAGGAGGGAAGCGACGGGGCAGGAGGTGGGCGTACAGAGGGAAGGCTTCTTGGAGGAGAAATCACATGCATCAGCTGGTGACTTTTGCCACTTTTGAAGGCAAAGAGGTCCTGATGAGCTGCTATTCCGTGACCAAGTGTTCCCTCTGCGAGGACTTTAATGTGCGCGCTCCGGCTAGTGTGTCTCTGTCACCCGCTCACGTCCTAATGCCACGGCAGGGGCTTCTAACGGATTTGACTTGGGAAGGGCAGGGACCCATGATCCACAAAACCAAGAGGAAACGGAGGCCGAACAGGCCAGCAGCAGCGTCCATTTTACATCCCTTGCCTCCATGTTCGAGGTCCATCCCAGCCTCCCCGGGGGACACCCGACTACAGTTCTGCACAGTCATGTACACAGACCTCGTGCTAAGGACCAGTCTGCATCTCACGTGTCCCCTCCCCTGCCCCATGGGTAGACGCTGCCGGCCCTGCTTTCCCGGACAACGAGGTACGTGGTCCGAGGCCACACAGCTGGGCGTGACGAGCCGAGGTCTCACCGACGACACTGCGTCCACCCGGTGCACGTGGGACGTTCCCTCTCGTACAGATAGGGCACCCGTGCAGATAACGGTGCAGGCGATCTGCAGGCAAGTCTCCGTCACTCGGGGGAGTTCTGTCCTGTGCGTGCTCACTCCTCCGTGGTGGGACGCGGAAGAACAAAGCCTTTCACAGACGCCTGCACAAGAGGATCACCCCACTGTCTTGCAGGGAGGGGGTCCTCGGAGGAAAGCCCTGTGCCCACAAAGACCAGCCCCAAGGACAGAGTCTGTGTGAAAGGACAAATGCTGATAAGGAAAGGGCTTCGTACGCAGAACACGACATTGTATGTCCACCGCGAGCTGAGAGTGCGCTCTCCTCTCCACAGAGGCTGGGAGGGAGGCGCCCGCATTAAATCAGCCCTATGCCAAGGGGTTTGCTTGTCTTTCTTAAACGTGTATTTAATGCGGGTTTGTTTTTAATCACATTTGTATATTAACGAAAGGACTTGGATGCCAGGCATAGAGACTCGCGATGCGACACACAGGATTGTCAAGCAGGCGTGTCAACCCAAGACGCAGCTGCCGCAGCCCCGGGAGCATTCGCTGCGGCTGGGGTGAGCAAGTCTGACCTTGGCCAGTGCCGCTAACGGTCACCATAGAGATCGACAGGGAGAGAGAGAGGGAGGAGCCGCCTTTCCACTGGGCCGTGTTGCTGATTCTTTCTCCTGTAACACTGTGGGTGCAGGCTGTTCCCCGATCTCCATTTTCATGGGGCTTCGTCTTTGGTCAGAATCTATGACATTTGCAGAATTCACTGCTGGGCTCTCGAGGGACAAAGACTGGGAGGACAGGTCCCTGCCCAGCTCAGTTCTTTGCAGTGTTTGGAACCGGTGGAGGGTGAAGCCTGGTGGTCTTTGCAGAGATGAGGAAGTTCGGGTGTGAATGGAGTAGCTGCTCAGGTCGCCCAGGCAGAGGGTGGCAGGGCCAGAGCTGGAAACTCCTTTGGGCACAGTCTACACCCGCTGCCCCCAGCCTTGGCACCCGGGCCCGGGCCGAGTGTGGGTAGATGGAATGTTCTCTCTGTGCCAGGCCACAGGCATGCCAGGTATAGGGTGAGGCTGGCACCGAGAGGCTGCCGTCTGCAGCACCCGCCTGGCCTCCTGGACATCTGGTGTCCCCCTGAGCGTGATGGGTCGGCAGGAGGTCCTTCTATAGAGGCCTCCCCGGAGCCAGGCAGCAGCCCAGGCCTCCGGGGCCAGGGAATTGCCTTCCCGCCGTGTCTCCTGTTACCGTTGGACCCGGCGGGGGGAGGAAACCCAGTGTGCACTCTGAACCAACAGCACAACTCCGTTCAGACTGCCACGGTGCAGCTGTCACACGTGGTAGGCGGCTACCACCCCGGGCAGTGCTGGTGTAGGCTCAGCAAAGGCAGGTGACCTTCTCCAAGTCACAATGTTAGTAACCAGCGGATTGAGATATGCAGTTTTCCTGTCTGACACCAAATGGGCATTGCCCCTGCCCCACGCAGCTGGGGAGCCTGCGGGTGCCCGTCCGTGACTGCTTCCAGCCTCCCTCCTGTGCTGGCAGAGGGACGGCCCGCTGACTTGCAGTTAAGAAGATGGTGCCTGAGGGGGGTGGGGCTGGGGGTGGGGGTGGAGAGGAATGGACCAGGGACAGGAAGACCTGGCCCCAGTCTGGGGCTGCTGGGAGGACTGGTGTTAGAGCAGCCAAGGAGCTGCTCAGGAATGAAGCTGTCAGCCCCAGGCCCCTCGCCAGGCAAGGCCTCAGGCACCTGCCTGAGCAGCGGCCACCTCTGCCCCGACGTCTGTCCCTGCAGCCCCTCCTGTGGCGGCCCAGGAGCACCCCGCTGCTCATCTCCCCACATTTACTGTCTGCAAACCAGCGAGGCTGCAACCTGCAGAGAATGCTGATGGGCTCGACGGCATCTCCGTGTGACTTTGAAAAAGGACAGGCGTGCAGTGAAGTCAGTGGGAGAATCGGGGGCAGGCTGACCCCTTACAGGTCGCTGGTGTGCAAACTGGCTCCAGAGAGGAACAGAGAGGTGGCCACAGAAGTGGGAGCTAGAAGGAGGCCCGTGTGTGTGTGTGCATGTGTGTGTGCATGTGTGTGTGCGCGTGTATGGCGAGAGTGGGACCACATTCTGAGAGAAGGGGTATTGTATCCTGAAACCCTGAGAGATTGTCAGGTGATCTTTACTTGTATTTCTTTGACTGTTTGCCCATTTTTAAGGGCACGGTTCAGTGGCACTAAGGACGCTCCCATCACGAAGCACAGTTTTGCAGACTGAGAATGATGCTTGTGCAATGGCGGACCAGCCCCGGTCTCCCTGCTTTTCTGAACTTTAGACGAGATTCCGGACTCCGTGCCCCGCCTATCACTTCTCAGCCCGTGTCCGTCCCCCAGTAAACAGGCAGCCGCTGCAGCTCCGAGGGGCCGGCTTGGCACCCCCAGGGCGAGGGACTGGCCCCCCCCGCCCGGGTTCGCCTCGGTCCTGCCACCCTCCACTCGGGAGCTCTGCTCAGTGACTGGCCCGAGCTCCGTCTCCTCGTCTACAACCACAACGCTCCGAACAGTCCGCTCCGGAGGGAGGCGCCGGGAGTGTGGCCTGCAACAACCGCGGCCTGGTGTCCGGGGGCTGAGGCGGCGGCCAGGCAGAGGGCACCCCGCTCAGCAGTGCCACCTCCACCTGCAGGGGCCCCTTCCACGTCCCCCCACGTAGCAGGCGGATAACGTGTGGGCCGTGAATGATGCTGTAAAGACCCTGACGGCCTTCGGTAGGAGAGAGGCTCCCGCCCCAGCAGAGCCATTGCCGTCTCCAGGCACGCGGGGCCCAGCCACAGCTGAGCAGGGGCCTCGATCTATTTTGTTTAGATGTGTGAGGCCCCCAGTTCCTTGCCCAGGCTTCTCCTGGGCTTAAGGAAGCCCAGAGAGAAATTGTCCGAATAACCCGGGAATGGCTCACATTCAGAAGGGCTCTTCCCTCGGCCAAAAGGTTATTTCACTGGGTTTTCCCAATTCCCAGGTCTCTGGTGCCATCGGGAGTTTGTTCACAGAGCTGGACCAAGCCGAGGGAAGGAGGGCCAGGGACCGCGGATGCTCCCCGCCCCCAGCTACCTCTCGGTGCCTCCGGCTGGGGGCTGGCCTGGGCCAGAGCCTGAAGCCGTCCTGGGCAGCAGCCTCAGTTCAGCCTTCCTGCAGCCCCTTGTGCACTTGCCCGCGACCCCTCCGTCCATCCTGTGTTGATCTGTCCATTCAGTTGTCCGCTTCTTGGCACCCAGTTTATCCACCAGGCACTCCACTAGGCCCTGCGGCCACCCAGGCAAATCACAGACTCAGCCCCACCTTCCTGGTGGCTTCGACCATGGGGAAGGAGACCCAGGACAACCGGTGTCATCTGCTTCCTGCTGGGGGCTGGGGTGCACAGGACAGGAGGAGTCACCTGTAGGGGAGGGGAGGGGAGGGGGGGCAGCCCCGAGACACAGAGTCATTTCTCCTGAGACTCCTGAGATGAGTCATGGACCAGGTAAAGATGGGGGGCGGGGGGCGCAGGACCGGGGAACAGAGGGCTGAAGCACAAGAGGAGGAAGGAGCCAGGAGATAAGACAGGAGAGGCATGGGGGTGGGGTCACCAGGAGCACGTGGGTCACCTTAAGGATTTGAGCTGATTCTATACAAACCATAGGTAGGCCTGGTTGAAGCACTTCACTGAGTGCTCACATCAACCCCGTGAGGCGGGTATTATCATCATCACAATCCCCAATGTACAAGTGGGGAAAATGAGGCATGGGGGAGTTGGGTAACCTGCCCAGGATGAAGCCAGGATTCGCACCCAGGCCCTTTGGCTTCTGAGTCTGACCAACAGGATGCGCCGCTGCTAAAGGAGTGAAAGGACAAATGGTACCTTACATACTATTCAAGATGATTTTTTTTTTGCAAGATCCCGCCTGCTGAAGGGACCAGGAAGTCCGTGGAGCTGGAGCGTCGCCCCAGGGGCCCACGTGTGGCTGAGCTGCTCTGGCAGAGGGAGGTGGAGAGACAGAGAGATTCCTCTTTGGACGGCGGCGCTGGCTCTCCTGGGACGTCTGCATCCCAGCCGGCTGCCCAGAGCCGCCTTTGGGGGGGTGGGGGTCAGCCCTGTCCGAAGCTGACTCCTGTGCCAGGAGGAGCAAAGGAGCCCCCACCCCCTCCACCAGGCGGCGGAGGGGAGGGGAACGCAGACCGCCGTCATCTCGGTGGCTGTCCCCTTTCCCCTGGCGATCCCTCGTCCTCCCTTGCCTCCGGATGCCCAGCATCTTCTCCATCGCCCCAGCCCACAGGCGTGTCGCCCTTCCCTCGTCTCCGGAGCTGATTGCGAGAGCAAACAACCCGCCCTGTGTGCATTGTTCTTGGCTGTTCTGTGCTCACGCCCGTCCCCCTCCTGGAGAGTCTGCACATGAGTCATAATTCGCGAGAAGCTGGAGGACTTGTTGCTTTATGTACCAAAACTTCTTAAAAATAAAACTCCCATTTTTAAAAAAAGTATATAGCCCTAGCCGGTTTGGCTCAGTGGATAGAGCATCAGCTCACAAACTGAAGGGTCCTGGGTTCGATTCTGGTCAAGGGCACAGACCTTGGTTGTAGGCTCCTCCCGGCCCTGGTAGGGGTGAGTGCAGAAGGCAACCAATCAATGTGTCTCTCTCACATGGATGCTTCTCTCTCTCTCTCTCTCTATCTGTCTCTCCTCCTCCCTTCCACTCTCTCTAAAAAATCAATGAAAAATATCATCGGGTAAGGATTAACAAGACCAACAAAACATACTTTATATATGAGATATATATATATATATGTATATATATACTTTATATATAAATAATAAAAGTGACTTCCTCAACAACAAAAAGAGAACAGCATGAGCGCTTTTTGTGACGATTAAGGCTCATTGCT